GGACTTCAAGGTGACATTTATATTAGGCTTTGGAGGGAAACTAGCATCTCTGAGTATTTATCAGCAAAACTTCATTCTATCATATGTAGTTCTTTTTTGTGTTTCATTTTGAAACAGGGTCTCATTTTATAACCCAGGCTGGCCTTGAAGTCATGGAAACCCTCCTGCCTCAGCTTCCTGGGTACTGGGATGACAAATGTGCTACCATGCCCAACTTGTATTATTGTACACATAAGAGAAGGGCATTCCGGGCTGGAGCCTAGCATCATAAAACACAGGCCTGGCTTCTGATCATCATCAGTCATTACATAATCATGGCTGTCTTTAATCAGTGACTAGGAAGAGTGTGATGCCATGGAAGACTCTCCTCTTGCTAAAATACACAGGAAATAAAACTTTGAAAGTGACTGGTACAAAATGACTATTAGACCTAATTCAGTCCTTCCTGTTCTCCCTCTGAACTCCCTAAATGTGCATCCTTCTGGTATGCAAAGCGCATTCATTTTGTCCCTGAAACTCTCATTATCCCAGTCACTGACACCAGGCAGGACAGAGAAAGGGCTGGGCTCGTCTGAGGCCATAGTCCCCTCCAACAGGAGACTGTGCCACCTGGGAGCCATATGCTTCACCCCCAGCCCAGAGAAGAACTGAGAGAGAAGTGTCCCACGCAAGACGAGGCAGTGCCAGCGGATACCACCAGACCGTGAGGTCCTAACGTGACCCTGGCTGGCCCGAAGCTCTGCCTCTGGACCCACAGCTCTGCCCGCTGGGGACGCAGCCCAGGGGTGCAGTCCATGAGCGTGAGGCCATGCACCCTGCTCAACATGGCCCCCACAACCCTGCATCCCCTTCGGGTGCTCTCCCTGGTCCAAAGCCAAGCACATTTCCAGCTGCATGGCCCCTGGACGTCCTAGCGTCTCACGGCCTCTGGGTCATGTCCCAGCTCTGTCCCCTGCAACCCAGGCCAGCGTGTTGCCAGGGTGCACACCCCAGGTTGACCCCTTACTAGATGTGGCTCCGCCCCTCGCCTGGAGCTCCCTTTGTTCTGGCAGGTAGGCTGGGGAGTTTTCAATCTTCAATTCTCCCTCCTTTTTACTTAAGAATGTCTTTTCCCGTCCATTTCCCTCTGCTCAGATTTTGGTAGAAGCACTCAGGACCCAAACTCCTCCTCTGGCTATTTGCTTAGTGATCTTCTAGGCTGCACACCCAGCTCCACTGCCTGCAATTCTGCCTCCCCAGGAATCAATCTGGGTTCAGCCAAGCTCTTTCCACATCACCACAGGGACCCCCTCCTCCCCTATTTCCAACACTGAATTCCTCACTCCCATCAGAGGCACTCGGGTCACCAATGTGGCACGTTTCCAGGGACACCGCAAGCATCTCCCAGCCTCTGCCTGGCACTGACACAGCAGCACCTGTTTCCTGGATCAGACTCTGTCTGGATTGTCTTGGGCTATGACAACCAGGCACCTGCAGCTGAGCGGCCCAGACAGTAGACATCCATGTCTACTGCCATGAAGAATAGACTGTCCAAGGTCAAGGTGGCAGCCAGTTTGCCCCCTCTGCTGCCACCTCTCCACTGCATCCCCTCATGGCACAGCAGAGAAAGGGAGAGAGAGAGAGAGAGAGAGAGAGAGAGAGAGAGTCTCAGAGTCCTTTGGGTGTCTCTTCTGAGGTTTGCACCAGTGAGAATCATTTCATCTGCCTCCTTGTGAACCTTGTTAGTGACTTTCACCCCATTTTACAGATGAATAAATCGAGGCGCAGAAAACTAAATGGGCCACAGTTGCACCACTGGCAAGTGTGCTCTGCAGGTTGCAAACCTGGCACCCTCAGAGGTGGGCACACAGCCTGGGCACTGTGTAACTCGAGCTTGGTACTGGGAGGTGGGAGGGCTCAGGGAAACACAGCTTCTGCGTCACCTCAGAAAGTTAGGGTGAAGCTGGTGGGAAGAAGGAGGCAGTGTGGAGTCCTTCCCCTCGTGCTTTCTTTTCCACAAACTCTAAGCCCAACTGGGCTTGCCCATCCCCCCAGGACCCCTGATAGTTCCGTCTCTGAGCACGGTGCTAGGTCCCGGCCTCTACCAGGGGCGTGTGTGCAGAGCGACGAAAGTCCACCAGCTGGCGCTGGCAGCCTCCTGCTGTGCCGTGGCGGTCATGAAGCCTGAATCTCTTCCTCAGGACCTCCTTTCTCCTGCCCCGAAGGGTTAGTGAGCAGGCAATTGAGTAACACTTGTACCAGACATGAACATGGAAGGCATTTGTGTATCACTGGTCTACTGTGTCCATTGATCAAGAGAATTAATATGTATCGTACACCGAGAGGGACACGTCTGAGAGGCATTTGGGAAACAGGATGAGGACAAGAAATGAGAGAGATCTCTGGTATAGGAGAAGGGGACCGAGAAAAAGGAGGGGGTGCCTAGGGGCAGGGTCACCCGAAGGACCCAGGTCTATCACCAGGTCCCAGGCAGTGTCACCATGCAGCTCTGCAAAGGTCGGCGATCCCAAAACCAGGCAAATGAACTAACAGAAGCTGTCAGAGCTGAAGAGAAAGACCCAGAATCTCTACTGATTCTACGATTGAGGCAGCAAGATTAACAGGGGTTTCCCTGCAGGGAGAGAAGCGGCCCCTGACCGATCACACATGTAGAGTTCCATGGCAGGATTTTTGGTAAATGCGTCACCTGGCATTTTTGAGATGTAATAAAATGTAATTTATTTAACTCGAGAGAATTCACCCTTACATATGACAAAATGCTGACTTAAGCCTGAGAATCTTGACATAAAAATATGCACTTGAAATAATATCAAATACTAACATGGACAGAAAGCCAAATGCATTTGTCTATTATATTATAAAATTATAAAAGCCTTTTTATGAGACTCAAAAGAAAATAGTGATGCTAATGGTTGGGTTTCTAAAACATTGATGGTATTTTTTTGCTGAGAAATTAACATAAACATTTGGAGAAAAAATAAATATTTCCAACTTGAGATAATTTGTATGTATCATTACTAAGAAAGTTTTATTTACAGCTTTTCTTTGGCTCATGATGAATTTTCTTAGCTCAGTTTTGTTCTCAGCACATGGAAACACTAGTTGGTTTAAAATGGAAATCCTCACACACAGCCTGTCTGCTTACTTAACGAGATAAATGTCATTTAAAGTGCAATGCATTGAAGAGAAAAATATTATCTACGTCTTCCCTGCAGGCCACCCCATCCAGAACCAATTTCCTGAAACCCAGTGGTAGCTGGGATCCCATCATAAAATAGTGTATAATGGAATTCTGAAAAATATGAAAATCTATTTAAAATTCCAGTGGTGGCTGCAGAACTTGATGCAAATCAAAGCCATGTGCGGGCAGTTACAAGGCTCACAGGGACGCTCCACGGCCGGAAGCCGAGCAGATTTTCCTCTCTCTCCAGAGCCCTTCACTACCCGATACCTGGGGACAGCTTAGCAGCAGCAGGCCAGACAGCAACCTGGACCCGTGCTGAACCCTGGTCCAGTTGGTTCTCGGCTTCACACACACAAGGGCCGGACGGATCTCATCATGGCTGGGCTTAACCTGCACACCCAGAGATTAATTCCCTGACATTTGTTTCTTGTGCTAGTATTTCACTTTTCTGTTATTCCCTATGCGCATATTCAAATTTTCTCAATCTTCCTGACTGTCTGTGTCAGAGCTTGCTGGAAAACAGACAGCTTTTGTTTAACCCACTTTTATTGAACCAGTCTGGAGCCTGAACGCCAACCAGATCTCTCCCTAATCTGTTTACCACCTTCCTACTTCTGAATATTTAGTTAATTTCACTTTTCATTCATTTAGGGGTCTACTGGATACACTTTTATACGAAGAGCCGCCTTTCAGGGTCTTCTTACGAGGAATCCCACCAAAGGAAAAGAACAAACTGAAGCCGAAATTCAGAGTGACAGCCTGCCACTGCAATGATTTTACGCGTCTTATCTTGAAGACAAACAGCATTACACACTGGTGTGTTTCTCTCCAGTGGCTTTTCTTGTGAATACTGACATGTGATCCATCTAACTTGTACCTCGATTTTGAAGTATATAACAGAGACACCACGAACATCTTCCAGTCAATAGCTGCTTTGTGACAATGATCTCTGGTAAACAGAATAGTCCAGTTACAGACCACTCCATGGCGAACCCTTTGAGCTGGCTGACGCTTTCCAATGTTAGAAGCAGCTGCTCTGGGTGGGGATGTAGCTTAGGGGCAGAGCACTTGCCCGGCATATACAAGGCCCTAAGCTCAAACCCCAGTGCCACAGAGAAAAGCACTTGGTACACTGCCCTGTGCTTCTTCACCTAGCTCAAAGTAACAAATCGATGCAGAGCCCGGTGTTACCAAATACACGGTTAAGCAGGAGATTTAGCTCAGTGGTGTAAGCACCTGCCTTGCAACTGCCAGGTCGTGAGTTTGATCCCCAGTACAAAAAAAAAAAAAAAAAAAAGAAAAGAAAAACATGGTTAAACAACTGAGTCAAGGGGAGAAGGAGATAGACTTAAATGACTAAGTGCATAGTAAGACCTCATGGAAATGGTCACCTGGGGTCACAGAATCCGGCTGGGGAAGTGGCTCGGTGGTAGAGTTCTTGCTTTGTATGCATAAGGCCCTGGGTTCAATCCCCAGCCCCACAAAAAAAGCAAGACAGACAGACAAACAGACAGAAATCGGAATGCAGAGTTGTTTTAAGGTTACCAAAGTTGGTAAACTTGCAACGAGAGAAAAAAATTATTTTATTCTTTCTGGAAACAGCTGAAGAGGTGTGAGTCTTACAAGCTTGCTGAACACAGCCGGACCCCTCAGACAGCAGGCAATGCGCCGACACCCAGTCCGAGCTTGCTGTTAGGGTCACCTGAGTCCAGCCCTGAGCAGGTGAGTAAGCACCATGGAAACATAGCCGCTGGTAATGCAGATAAACTCTCTGGAATCAAGACACGGACTGATGAAAGTTCCTTCTCTATGTTGCTGACGTTTTTTGTGAAATTTATTTTTTACTTATTTCCAACTAAAACATCATTGTTATAGAAAAAACATAAACATTGCAATATGGTTACCTTTTAAGACTCTATTTCCAGGAACTGGAGTATAAAACAGAAATCTTACAATGATACATTCTGTATCACTACAAATTCCCTATGAGGAATGTGATAACTGTGTGTGTAAAAACTGTGCCAATAAAATTATTAAAGAAGAAAAGAAAAGCAATCCTAGCCGGGCACGGTAGCACAGCACTTGGGAGGCTGAGGCAGAGGATTGCCGTGAGTTTGAGGCCAGCCTGAACTACATAGCAAGACTTGGTCTGGAGAAAAAAACAAAGAAAGAAATCTTAAAATGATTAACTCACACACAAACGTACCAAAGTCAAGAACATAAACGCTATCACCAATCAAAACTGAACGATGGTAAATCACAAAAAAACTAAAAATACATAATCAGTGAAGATCTAATTTTTCTCTTCCCATGTGTCACTGTGCTTTGCAAGAAGTGTGTCTCTGTTTGAGGACCTTGCATGGCTTCCCCGTGGCCGTCCTGCATGGTTCTGCTGATCCATGGACCTGGGTCGTGGAGTGGGGACAGTGGGCCCGGTCATCACTGAGGCCGGGACAGAGGCCCCCGCCCCACCTCTCTGGGTGGCTCAGGTGAGAGCTCAGCTCCAGAGCCCAACCTGGGACCAGCCAGCCAGCAGCACAGGGACCCAGGTCCAGCATGTTCTGGAGCCCAGGCCCAGGTCCTGCGCTCTCCCGGACTCAGGGTGTCACAGACCCCAAGTCCCGCAGGGGTCAGCAAGGAACCCTAGGTGGCACAGCAGGGCCTCACTGTGGGTGGCCGTGTCCCCCGGTTCTGATTCTGGATGCCTGCTCAGGGCTGGGGATGCTTCGAGGTGGGCTGGAGGGTCAGGCCGGACCTCTTGGAGTCAGGACCTCAGTGCTAGCTGTTGGGCTGGGTTCCCAGGGCCCAGGAGCTTTTCCTCAGCTCCTCCTGCAGCTTCTCCATTTCCTCCGGGTGGACGGTGTTAATGACAGTGCGGGCTTGTCATGGGCGTCAGTCAGCTGGACTCCAGTGTCTCTAACTGAATGCTTTTGATTAAGAATGAGAGAAACATAGGTTGAAAAAGCACAATTTAAAAACAAAAAGGGGGGCACACCTGTCATTCCAGTGCAAGACACCCGAGGAGCCTGAGGAGCCCGTGGCAGACCTTGTAGATCCCTCTCTGGGGATGCTGGCAGCCTTCACCCTGCACCGCTGGAGCCAGTGACTCCCAGCAGAGGGGCAGGGAAGGAGTGGGGTGGGATGGAGGGAGGGAGGGGTGTCAGGAGAGGGCGGGGTGCACTGTGCTGTTCTGTTCCTTCCCCTCACCCACCACTGGGCCTAAGAGACCCAGAGGCCCTGAAGCAGCTGCTCCTGGGTCCCACATGAAAGGAAGCCCTGCCCATCTCCTCCCAGTGACATGCACACACGCGCATACATACCTACACGTGCACACCCATGCACACACGCACACACACTGCGTATATACCAAGCAACGATGTGAGGGCTGAGGATTTAGCTCAGCGGCATAAGCACCTGCCTTGCAAGCAGACAGTCGTGGGTTTGATCCCTGGTACCGATAAAAAGGAAAAAGACAAAAAAAAACAAAAACAAACAAACAAAAAAAAACCCAAGCAACGATGTGAACAGGAGATAAATCTCCACTAAGCCGCTGCCTTCGGGACTCGATTGCCGTAGCAGCTCCAGAGCCGCACTAGTAACCTTTCCAAACCAGGATCTGGAGACACTGTTACTGCAGTCAAGGCTTGCAAGGAGAGCAATTACAGTTAGGACACAGAATTCATAGTATCAGAGTTAACACAAGAAAGTGCAAGAAACCTGTCCACAGCACTAAAGACCCAGAATATTCAGCCGAGGGCCTGGATCCCACAGCAATGTCCTGTATGAGTCCAGATGAAGACCTAGAGCCCCCAACAATGCCTTCCACGAGTCCAGCTGGAGGTCTAAAGCCCACCAGAAGGACTCACACCAGTCTCTTTTATGGATCTGCGCTGGAAAGGCCTAAAGGTCAGTGGTGGAAGCTAGACAGTCTGTGCCAGCGGTGAAGAAGCTGTGTTGCTGTGTTGAGGGTTCTACGCTGGAGCCGTACTCAGATCAAGATCAGGGCTGTCCTGAAAAGCACCACAGCCATCCTCAGCAACACAGAGGTCCTGAGCTCCTCCAACGATAAGTGTCGAGTGCATGCCAGGAAGCTAGCATGACAAGCGCTTCTCCTGGAGATTAAACAGCTCACATCTTCCCCTCCAGAGCCAAGAAGCAATTCTCAAAGTAAGGACCAGAGCTCCCCAAAGTGAACCACAGCCACTCTCACCATCAAGGTCCCAAGCTCTTCCAATGACAATGGTGGAACTCACACTGGGGAAGCCAGCATGACAAGCTCCTCCAGGAAAACCAGCGGCTCAAACAGCAACAGAGAAACTCACAACGCCTAGGTCTCCTTCTCCACGTCTCCATTTATGCTGGCAACTTCCCTCAGGTGGAACAGCTACACTCAGCACCGTGCTGATCTAATTCAGCTGGTGTTAAGTTTGCCATCAGTTTTTAATCCATAACAACTGTCATCGAGAACGAGGGGTAAAGTTTACTGGAAGGAGAGATGAGGAGGGAGAGGGCCAGTGACCCCACGGACCTCCCCAGTGGTTTGGTAGTACAGCCCGGGCCTGGTCCCAGCAGGTGCAGAGAGCTCCACAAGTCTCCTACCATACACACAGTGCTGTGTACCTGGCTGTGTTCCTTTGGCACCCTAACCTTTTTGTTTTGTTTTGTTTTGTTTTGTTTGAGACAGGATCTAGCTATGTAGGTTATTCTGGCCTTGAACTCACTGTGTCCAGGCTGGCCTCAGGCTCACAGCGATCCTGCCTCAGCCTCCCCAGTGCTGGGGTTACAGGTGTGCATCATCATCCCTGGTTCTAACCTTGTTTCCATTTTTGGTTCTGTTGGGTAATGCCTAAAATGAAGCATTTCTATAGCTGATGTTTCAGCTAAGAGCGTTTGCTTGTCACTTGTGGAACCTGTGTGTGTGTGTGTGTGTGTGTGTGTGTGTGTGTGTGTGTGTGTGTGTGTGTGTTTGGCCCACAGAGCGGCACTGTCGGAGTCCTGGGTCCTGCTGGGTTTGCTGTCACCAGGTCTGAATCTCACTGAGGAGGAGGAAACCCCCTTCCATCTCAGGGAGAGAGGACTCGTGAGCATCTAGCAGTGTGGCCAGTGTGGGCCACTGCGGGGCGTGGGGGGCAGCTCCGTGTGGAGCCCTGGTCTGGCACTCAGGAGGCCCTGGGCTCATCCCTGGCATCTCCAAGTTTTAAAACCCGAAGGCACAGAAGTGAAATTCACTGTGACTATCACCACTGCCCTCTTCACTCCCAGTCCTCGGTCCATGTGCTACCTCCTCTTGGCCCTGCAGATGTGTGGGTGCTGCCGGGGTGGTGAGGCCAGGGCCTGTGGGGAACCCTAGCACCCTCAGAGCGATCCGCCAGCCATCAGCGTGGTGCCCCCTCCAGTGCCACCAGACCTCACCCTGAGGTCAGGGTCCCCAGCCGAGGCTGCGTCCGCTCCAGGACTCTGACTCCACGGCCCCCCGGAAGGCACATGTGAGGGGTTCTCGGCTCTGTTTCCATGGGGCAGGGCACCTGGCTTCCATCAGTTTTCCAAAGGCATCCCTGACCCTGGAGTCAGGAGCATTGGGCTTGAATGGCACATGCCCCTCTCCACGTGGACAGTGTGGCTGTGCACCCCAGTCCCCCTGGGGCATCTCTCTCCCAGACAGGAAGAAGCACCCAGCCCCAGCCTGCATTCCCCTGGGACCTGGTTCCCGCTGTCCAGGCGCCTCCTCTGGCAACACCTGTGAACCGGCACCTTCTCCCTCGGTTCTCCAAGTCTGCTCCCCAGAGGGGAAGCCGCCCCACCTTGGAGTTCTGCCTGTGGCCTCTGCCCTGCGCCTCGCATCTTCCTGTCCCTCTGACCCTGATGGGAGCCCTGGCCCCAGGACTCCCTGTCCCCTGCCCAAAGCTGTGCCTTCTCAGAGCAGCCTCTTGGAGCCCAGGGATTGGCTTATTTTCCCTCTTTTCTCCTCCAGGTCTGTCCCTGGTGCTGTCACTGAGTCATGGAGCTACTGGCACCTGCAGGTTACCATCCCCTGCATCACCAGGCTGCTGGCACCCGGTAGACCAGCCTCACGTGTGGGTTTTCCACTTCCCCATGCCTTAGTTGGGAAACCGCCTCATCTCCTCGGCCTTTATTTGTTTAACTGGTAAAAAAGGAGAATAAAAACAGTGTCCCCCTGTGCTAGGCCGAGGTCTCTGCAAATCTTGTCCATCAAACTCTGGGCTGTCACCGGGCTTGATAGTATATACCGGTAATTCCAGCATGCCTGGAGGCTGAGGCAGGGAGATTCAAAGTAAGAGCCAACCTGGGCAACTTGGTCATTTAATGAAATCCTGTTCAGAATAAGAAAGTTAAAAAGGACTGAGGATGTACTCCGTGCAAAGGTCCTGGGTTCAATTCAATTCCCATCACCATGAAGGGGGTGTGGGGGTGTTCTCCTTGGGTTTGACCTGGGCTGGCCTTGGGACTCACTGGAGCTGGTGGGACATGCACAGTTTACAAGATTAGGCCTGGAGAAACCTTGAGGATTCCCCAGTCCACACCTGAAAACCAGACAGCGAGCAGAGCATGGAGCCACCGGCCTTGGAGCCGGCCTGGGAGGAGGAGCCACTCTGAGGGAGTCCAGAGCTGACTGGGGCTGCCAGACAGAGACGGCAGGGCCCAAGGTCCAGCCACAGCCGCAGGGATGCGTGGGAGGAGCCAGTGCATGCCCCCCAGAGTGACCCCAAACTGTCCACCACAGCAGCAAGGGCTAACGCAAACCCATACCTCTGGGGACCTCACACTGTATTTCTTGTGGTACTAGGGGTGGAAGCCAGGGCCTCCACACTGGGCTACATCTCCAGCCTCTTTTATTTTTTATTTTTAAGAAAGATCTCAGTAAGTTGTTCAGGCTGGGCTGGAATTTGAGATCCTCCTGCCTCAGCCTCCCAGGGTACTGGGATTGCAGGCCTGCATCCCTCTGCCCCGTGTGGCCCATGTTCTGATGTTAACTGCTCTGCTGGTCCATGAGGCAGCGGTGAGCGTTGAATGAAACTGTGTCCTGGGCTGTCAGACACTGTCCTATGCTCCCCGAAAGCCCCCGTGCCACCCTGAGCGTTACCAGGACCCGAGCCACCTCCCTACCTCACCGCCTAACGATGAAACCCGCTTGCCCTCCCTTCTATGGAGTCCCCACCCCCACGCCTCCCCTCAAGTGCCCACTTCCCACAAGTTCCTCTCAGCCCCTCAGCACCTGAGGGGTAGTGGACACCCACAAGGAGGCCCAGCAGGGCCAGAACTGGCTGCAGACCCCGCACTGCACCCCGCTGGCTGGGTAGATCTTTCCCCTGCACCCCGCAGACCCAGGGGCTCTGCCTGCTGCCCCTCACTGGGCATCGCAGACTGTGCTCTTGGCTCTGAGTTCAGGCGCTTATTCCATACCCTGCTTAGCGAAGAGTGCTCTGTTTATCTTGGAGGCCCTCGCCGTGCCTTATATGGCTATTTTCACGTGGTAAACACTCAATAAATATTTACTGCAATGGAACTTTTTTAAACTGCCAAATTATACAAGCAAATGTCTGAGGGGGAAAAGCTCGTTTTTGGTGGGTGGTCAGGATAGGGTTTATAGAGGACTTGGATTGAAAGTAGGTTTTTAAAGTTGAGGAGGATTTGGGGAGATGGAGGAGAGGCAGAGAGGATCCAAGGTAAATGTGAGCACAAACCCTGCAGGGCCAGTTGGAGCCTAATGGCCCAGCACGTGGGAGGTGGACGCAGGATGATGATCAGTTCCAAGCAGCCTTGGCTACTGAGCGAGGCCCTGTTTAAAAAAAGTTCAATAGCCCAGCGGCAGCAGGGGCCCCAGGCAGGGCCCTGAGCAGGACTGGGAGGGAGAGCAGGTGGCCTGTGTGACAGGGGCTCTGTCCTGTAGGCAGCACGGAGGGGCTGAGGGACTGTTAGGAGGCCCCTTTCTTATACTACAGGGCATTCATTACAGCAAGCACAGGAGACAGACGCCAGCACAGACGGGAAGTGCCCCGCATCTGGTGCGGAAAGCACGGCTATGACTTAGGGGCTCCCCTTCCACAGCCCGCACACCGTTCCCTGCTCTGCTTCTGAAATGCTGTCAGGCTCACTGGTGAGCTGCAGAGCACTACAGAAACTTCACGCGTGCCCTCAACCCACACATTCCGTTCGCTGACATCTTACATTGCTTGTTTTATTTTTCTCATTCTTTTCTGAGCCATCTGAGAACAAATCACACACTCAAATCCATCATGCAGGGTACCTCAGTGTATTTCCTTCTCCTACATAACCAGAAGACAAATCTTAGGACGAGATTTGGGCTGTGAAGTTCTGTCAGAAATACCCAGCGGGGACGCCCGTCGGGAACACACAGGGTCAGTGAGTCTCACAGTTGGTGACAAACTCAGATCCCGTGGTGAGGGTCAGGTCTCCAGGTTTCCTGTCTGCAAAATCACTGTCTTCCCTGTGTGATTAGTAGGGGTTTAAAAAAGAAAAAGGGAGATTCTTTGAGACTAAGGGATTTCTCTGCTCCTTGTGAAATATTCATGAGTGAGAGCCTCAGCCCGGGGGCTCTGTCTCGCACTAGGCTGGAGCTCCAACAGCACCTCTCGAACCCCCAGTTTCTCCTGCATGTTTCAGCTGCACTTCCATTGGAAGCTGGGTTTCCTGTTTATCACATTTATTTAATCCCATATTTACATCAGCATGAACGCATGCATTTCTGTTTTATTTGATGATCTGTAATCTGTTGCTGTCATTATAGTCCTGGGTGGTGCTCAGACTGTCCTGGATTTGACCTGAGGGGCACCTTCAAGCTGGCTCCTGTGGTCCTTTGCCATTTGTAATTATGAACTGTGATTTGTCAGCCTTATTTAAGCAAGAACCTCCAGGCAGATCAGTAAAGCTCTGGGCGTGTCTGGATGATTGACTTATATACTGTCCACTGAGAAGGGAAGACCCGCCCCAGATGTGAGTGGCAGTAACCAATAGGATTATAGCTTGGATGCAATGAAAAGGGAAGGAAGGCAAAAACCTGCCATTTTTCTTTATTTTATTTTTTTTATGAAGGAACAATTCATTGAAGAACATTTTCTATGATAGTATAATAATGAAAGTTGTTTGCATAGCCCATAAAATGTTTAAAATTTCAAAGTAAAGCAAAAATGACAGTAGATGGGAAAGAAAAAATCAGTGGAAAGGAGAAACTGAAAATGGAATAGTCAGTGTCTAAGAAACCAGGGATTAGAGAGGCCAAGCAAATTGCTCAGTGTCACATGGGGGTAAATGGCAAAGCAAAGACATAAACTCACATCTTCTTTTCTAGAGCCATCGTCCTACACATTAAC